TTGCCAGCATTGGTGATTTCAACCGATGTACATTTTGTACGATATTGCAGACCTTGGTCTTGTTTTCGTTGTAATAAAAGTGTTTTTTATTTTATTTTTTATTTTGCACATACATTTACAATGACATTGTCAAATCTCACAATGCCCAGCGATATTTCAGCAGCCGTCATGTTTATTTATATTGGATATTGTAGTTCCGGTCAGTGTTGTGTTAATACGCTTAGAATTGTGTCTCGTGATGCATGGTAATTAAAGTCCCATCAACGACACAGCTTTCAAAGAGGCTATATAGTGACAATACCATGCAAATGTAAATATATTTGTGAATTAGTTGCCATATACATCGATATAAGCTTCTGTACAATGTATCTAAGAGCGCAGTGAACTCTTCTCTGACACAAGTCACGGCTTCCATTTGACTGCTCTACACGGTCAGATCAGCATGTCTATGTTACGGTGCAGTAACGACATATGGCTCTACCGTATTTGTTTGGACATGAACACTGAGCCAATCCCGGTTGATTTTACACGGGAATTCTTTAAATCCGAAATAAAGTGTATGTACAGTGTAACTAATTGAGTTACACAAAGGCATACTATTGCCTGTTGAAATAAACCAAAAATGGATACAATGTTGTTGTTTTTTTTTCAATTCTGTGGGCACTTTTCAGCCATATGATGGCATAAAAAATCAAATTTGAAAGCAGTCAAGACATGACAATGATCCAGTTTTCCCATTTTCCTGATTGACAATTTTTTTCTGGAAATCAAAATGCCTTTCATTCTAGCCACTATTGTTAGGAACCAATTAGACCGAATAATCGTGACCCCATTATAGTCTCATGTAAATGAGGTGATGAGTGTATACTGGAAAGGAAAAACTCATCAATTTTAATTATCAAAGGCCTAATATTTGCAATGTATTATAACGTATGTCACGAATACAATACATCAAAATCCTTGTCCTGTACGCAATGTAGTATTTTGTTTATTGTGTATAAAATGTTTACTGTTGTGATTGTCCATATTAGTGTGCCTTATTGTTTTGTTTTGGTCTTATTCTTCTTGTACTCTTAAGGGTCTATAGTCTATAGTTTATGTTGCCCCTGGTTTGATCTATTTTGTGTTGAAATTACGATTTGTACATAATTTTTATCTAATCATTTATTCGATTTATTCAACCTTACTCATCGGTTTTTTATATTTAAACATTGCTATAATTTTATACATTTTGCGCTCTATTTCAGTAGTACATTCAACAATTTATTCTTATTCCGTGTGATATATTCTGTCAGCTTTCCATCTTACTATCGAATTGTCTCCTTAAGGGGTCACATGTGTAGGATTATATAAAAATGCTGATACGCGGTGGTTAAATATCCCAAGTCTATGGTTGATTATCTGACAGGAGTTTTCCCAAGTGAAGTGGCCTGGAAACCATTTGAGTAAAACGGGGTTCCAAATCTTGGCAGTTGTCCAATTTCCTTGATAATCTTGTGCACTGAAAAAAATTAAAAATTAAAATAAAGGACTTTTTACGTTTATTGGATTGGTGATCCGATTATTCCGTTTAGAGTAATTATATTTACACGTGCAACCATTCATCATATCAAAATGATCTTCAAAGATTGATGTTATATCCATAATGTGGGCAGTTATTGATTGAGTGAGAATATCCGATGTCTGAACCCTTAACACTGGTTAATTACCCCATGTATTGATACAATTCACCATATATACATTAATATATGTTAAGATTTTACGACATAGATACTAGTCTTAATGGAATAAAGCAACCGTTTTATAATCAAGTCAAGCTAGATTTTATTTAATATTGTGTATAATGCAACAAGTAACCATTACGTAACAACCATCCCTTAAGAAAAACGTCCTAACTAAATGAAGATAGGGAGGATGGACTCTCTCTGTATTAAGGTTTTTGTTTATGATTAGATTGATTTTAAAGTTGAACTGCGAACCATTAACCAACGAAGGATATGGTGGTTATGTTTATTTCCATCTTGTCTTTAAGTTTGTTATTGTATTCTTCATCAAGGTTTCGCAAAGTTTTCACTCCGAAACATTTTAGCGGTAAAGGTATGGCGCCAATGCGTGCTTATGAAAATCAGAATTTCGATAATTATCCATATTGGAATTCAAAGACATATTTGAAGTGCCAAAGGATGTGCAACTGCATACAATTTCAAGAAGAGTTACATGTAACAAATCAAATAAAATATGTTCAACAAAGACGCAAGTATTGAACACGCATCACTTCATCCTTTTAATTGGTTTTTGTAAAAAGAAATATGAATAAACATGTCCTATCATTTAACACTATAAATGGAAAAAACCAATTGGAAAGTGATTGAATAGGTCAAGCCGTTGGGACTAAAAGGGTGTATGAGCAGAGAAAAAGCATAATCATCCGAGTGCAGTTAAATTTGTATATCAAGCAGACTCGATATCTGTTCCGCATTATCTTATATCATTGATGTTTTACACAGTGTAAGAAAAAGTGCTAATAAACCGTCATTCGATCTAAAATGGAATCGAAACAAGGAACCGATTTACAAGAAACTCATGAAAAGTTGAAAGAAAAAATTAGCCGGATGTAACTAGAACTTTAAGCTAAGGCTAACTAATACCCAAATTAAAATGCCAGTGCACAACTACATAAGATACCGATCATTCATGCAAAGTTTCAATGAAATCCACACGTTAGTTAGTTGAGGAATTGCGCGGACAAGTTACTGTGGATGACAGACAGACAGACACACGCCATGTGTCCTCCAAGAAAGATGAATGAAAAACTCACATATGTGATTCCACCTGTATAAGATTGGTAGTTTATACAGGATGCCAACATTGCGTTATACCGCACCTTACAGCTGTTGCGTCCTTCTTACAATTATCGATTCTGTTATAAGTCAAACAAGTGGAACTCCATCTTGGCCCAAGCTTATTTTAAAACAGAAGGAGGGATGGGTCAAACCCTCTTGATTATATGACAACAGAACTTTAATGGAGCACTCATTTATTTCCTTTACCTTTTTATTACTTTAACCTCAGATACTAACAAACTCAACATCAGAGTCAATCACACACACATTCTCAAAGCGAGAACCGAGGAAGTGACAGCGAACCAACAAGGCACATAAATGATCATATTAAAAAACACCAACCTTCATATCATACAAAGTTGTAGCCTATTGCCTTAATGCGATCATGATTGTGACCATACAACTTGCCCATATCCGTCATAAACATGCATATCTGGAAACAATCAGTTGAAAGTGTGTCCGTCAGCAGTCGATATATCTCAGGTTGGTCATGCAATAAGATAAAAAAAAACTATATCTTGTACATCAGGGACCAAATTCCAAACATGCTCTACTGGTATCTTAACTTGTTGTAAAATATAGCACTGATGTAACTTTTAGGTATTAGTTTATGCTCAAAACCTCTAATGTAGGCATATTGACAAGGCTCTGTTGTATCTTTGATTATCTTAAACATGCCAGATTTCACGGAGTGAGACAAAACCTTACGGATGTTCACCTCTGTTAAAGTCTCACGGCGCGGGACATGAATTTACGGAAAGTCCTCAAAGTCTCACGTTTTTCCTATTGTTGTTTACTCGAGATAGAAAATGGTTTTGATCTGAATGCTAAAATATTTAATTTAAAAGTTCTGATGCAGAACACAGTTTGCTTTTCTTTCACAGCTGATTATTACTGTCCTCTTGTTTGAACAAAGACAACTATAATCCTTATAAACACATCAAAATCCCCAGTTCAAAGTTTATGTCTCCTATCTTGAACTTCAGTAGTACTGTGGCTGCTGTGAATATTGACCTTGCCAACTGAACTGCGAAATTTAAAGTAAAATTTGCTTTTGCAGTTCATCTAAATTAATTATGTGTGCCATATGTAAACCATATTTAATATAAACAAAAACATCTGCCAAAATCAAAGCAAAGTTTCTTACTTAATGAAGTTTTTTGTCGTGAAACACGCTGCGAATAAAACCTCCCTTATTTGAGCCTCAATTCCCTTAAAATGGTTGTAAACTCACAGAATGGTCTTCAAGAATTCTGGCATGCGTCTGATACAAACCACCAGACTGAAATGCATGTATCACCAACTAAGGTGGCAAGTTGAAGCTTGGTGAAAACCTCGACTATTTGTCAGCATTACGAAATACCTACCAGCTTGACACCGTGTTAATACTAAGGGAACACACGCCAGGTACTATCCTACAGGATGACGTAATGTGTTATTATTTGTCTCTGTATTATCCTGGTATTACCATCATACTTTATGCCATGCATCATTCTACACGGTCGGCCTGATGTACATAGGGTTCAAGCTATAATTATCAACGCAGATGGGCGATATTTCAAGATGATAAGTGTCCATTTCAGCAATGTGACAATAGCTTACTTTATCTTTGTCTAGACGGACTAAAAGACTATGTAATGACACATGAAGCAAGAAATGAATGTTCATCAATGGTGAAGCCTGAATTAGCATCCAATATGCCCCCATTTGTCTGTCTAGCTCGTTAAATTTAAACCATATCGTATTTCCTTAGGCCCAATAATTAACGTGAGATATATAGGCCTGCATATCGAATGTCAAGTGGGAGAAAAAATCCTCTTCACTCAAAACTGGCGGCTTTTCCAATATACGTCAGGAAAATCAAATTACAGTTTATTTGTCATTCGCACGCCGAGTAACATTTTGAAAAAAACTATATTGTTTGTTGATTCACGATTGATATTCTAAGATGGAACATCCAATTATAACATTTATCACAATTATGAAATATTACACCACATCCTGTACATGTTTTTTGTTAGGCAGACGTTATAATCAGAAATGTTCTTGACATCGCTTGTTGCCTCCCTATTTGTCCTGTATAATTATGTATCATCATCGACAATGCTTGTAAATAAGTAGCAAGGCTTAATTGTACTTACTTGTTCTTTTGTAGAAATGGGTGAAGATCGACCTTTGGTGAACTTCACAGACTACACGATCAGATCAATAGAGCAACATCAGGACTATCCCGCCATACTGGTGGTCATGTGCCTTTTGAGTATTTTCAGTGTAGCAGGAACTGTTGGAAACGCCTTCGTTATATATGTATTCTCTAAACAGCGTGATAAGCCCACCTCTACCATGTTTATCATCACCTTGGCTGCTACCGACTTCTTCACGTGTCTCTGTATCGTTCCTCACACGATGGTATGGGAATACCTCAGTAAGCGCATGCAGTATGACGCCATTTGTAAAATATACAATTTTCTAATCACATCAAACGTTCCGTTTTCTTTCTTCATCATGGTAGCTATTGCCTTTGACCGATATTTTAAAATTTGCCGACCTTGGACACATGCAATGGATCCTCCAGTAGCGAAACGTGTCATCGTTGGTTTATTAATATTCGCGTTGTCCCTTGGTATCATACCATCGTTTTCCTATGGAATTTACGAACGAAAAGATTCAGTTAACACTACGCTGGAGGTGGTTGACGTTTCCGAATATTCCGCAGTAAGCGGTGATATTTCAATGACAACTACGCCTTTAGTAAATTACTCATCATATGACTCTTCAAATAGAGATAAATTATCAAACGCAACAGGCAAACCACTTGCATACTATTATGGGATGTGTGTGGTATCAGAACGCTACTTTAGTATTGAAGTAAGAATGTTTTACCAGAAAATATACGCTTCGTTGTTCCTGATCGCTTCCATACTGGTTGCGATTCTCTATGGGTTGATTTTCAAATCATTGATGACACGACGAGCTAGGAAATTAAAAAACTCAATGTCGAACGGAAACACCTGTAAATCGCAGGTCAATCAAACGTCTACCGCCAGTCAGACGTGTATCAGTAGCTCCCGGTTTGTCACCAATGAAGAACAGAAGGCGACAGGTGACACGTCAAACGAATCGCTCATGCCTCGTAAACCTCCGCTACAGTCAAACAAGGACAGGGAACGAGAGAAGATAAAGACCGTTCGGGAGAAACAAAGAATAGCAAATATTAAGACAGCTGGAATTCTCTTCATTGTCACAGCTGTTTTTATTGCGGCGTTTTTGCCGGCATGGTTAATGGCTGTGCGTATGATACCGGCCAACATGATTCTCTTCTACATGTACTTTAGCTACAATGTGGCCAATCCAATCATTTATGCTTTTTTCAATCGTGCATTTAGAGCGGAGATGAAGAATGTTATACACTGTAAAAAATCTTATTAAATCTGATATAACGAATGGTATACACTGTACAAATTCTTATTAAATCTGAAATAACGAATAAATCTGATATAACGAATGATATACACTATACACATTCTTATTAAATCTGACATAACGAATGTTATACACTGAACAAATTCTTATTAAATCTGAAATAACGAATGTTATACACTGTAAACATTCGTATTAAATCTGACATAACGAATAAATCTGATATAACGAATGGTATACACTATACACATTCTTATTAAATCTGACATAACGAATGCTATACACTGAACTAATTCCTATTAAATCTGAAATAACGAATGCTATACACTGTACAAATTCTTATTAAATCTGAAATAACGAATAAATCTGATATAACGAATGATATACACTATACACATTCTTATTAAATCTGACATAACGAATGTTATACACTGTACACATTCTTATTAAATCTGACATAACGAATGTTATACACTGTAAACATTCGTATTAAATCTGACATAACGAATAAATCTGATATAACGAATGGTATACACTATACACATTCTTATTAAATCTGACATAATGAATGTTATACACTGTAAAAGGGCAACGTCTTATTTAATCTGACATAAAGAATATATATACTGTAAAAAGGCAACTTCATATTAAATCTGACATAACGAATAAGAAAAATGCAAGACTCGTACACATTTGAAATATGATTACAGTGAAAACTGAAGTACTTAAGTACTACTTAAGGTGGTCTAAATATTGTCCGAATATATTTGGATACCAGCGAATAGCTAAATACATACATTGTGGAACATACATTGATTGTTTGATACAGTGATATTATTTATTCGACTATAATATATCGTTTACTGTTACTAAACTTTGCTATCAGTATGAATGTCCACTTTTGTTTCTTATAATATGGTATTATGGTTCATACTTATTTTAAGTAGAACCATTGCTACAATTGCGTGTAAGGAAGTCTTAAAACTGTTTTTTTTCATTATTTTTATTAAAAAAAAATATATGGAGTATACAGTTGCAATCGTTCCAGGTAACCACCACTGAGAGCAAAATCACCAAGGGCTATTGAATGTATAAAAGCATGAAACTTCCCCGTCACATACGTATTAAACACAAACGTTCGATGTCATGTGACGATAGCGGTTCTTGATAAAACTGTAACTACAAGAAGCGCGAAAGCCTTGCAAAGATCAAAATGCATTTCTTTCAAAGGATAACGCAGCGGGTTTCTAATTTTACGAAACTAAAATTGTCATCGAATCCACCCGAGTACATTTTTTTTCTTATTTCTATATTTTTTTTTATATAATACATAAGGAAATATTTTAATTATTTTTAGGACATTTGTCATGTCCGTACCGGGAATTGTAGATTTGTTTTATTGATTAAGTATGGTATTAATGCTATTGGAAGTTTGAAAGCTGTTTAAACAAAAATCATCAGTAATGGTATCACACGCTCCCTTAAACACTGAATAGTAACCCGAAATTTCAACCATTGAATTAGTCATATTCAAAGACCCCAAAAAAGCATGGTACTTCAGATATGTAATTTGGATATGATAAATTTAATTCAAGTTTTTTGAAGTTGTACATAGCGACTTAGTTATCGTAGTCAGTAATAAGCCATTGAAGCTTCATGTCTTTATTCTAATTGTACAGAAAGCTTAAAATATGTTAATATATATTGTGAAGTTTAATTTCTGTTTTGTCAGCCGTGGAGAGGCAAACCGGCTGTAAATGATGATTGTTACGGCCATGAGAATGCATTAAAATCTTGGCAGAATACACCTGTAACACATTTTACCAGCATACAAAAACACCAACGGGCTTCTAATCGAACTTTTTTTTATAAATTCCCTTTCGTAACAATATATATCAAATTGACATAAATGAATTTCGCTTTTCAATTAGGGTTCTGAATATGGGTTATCAGAGGGTGAACAATTTATGTAACTATACCACCCACCAGGGGCTTGTTGATCCTGAACTCGGAAGACAATGAATTATTGTGTTTGTTTATTAACATAATATATGTATACTTAGTTTTTTGTTTTTTGAAAATATCTGTCATTTTATGACATATTACATGTACAAAGTTTCATGAATGTGTGATCCATACATCTTTTTTGAACACTAAAGTTTAATGCTTTCAGTCTCATTATATTTGCCATAAACAAAGGTAATTCTAATTTCTTCAGTTTTATAAATAGTGCGTATAGCCTAGCATATTGTTATTTATAAACAATGTCCGTTTGTGAAATTCTATCAGCCGTTTACTACCATAGCAGCTCTTCATACAAGGAAGTAGAATGTTAGTGTTTTCTATGCAGATTCTTTTGATTATAAACTGATAAATGGCACGAAACTGTTCAAATTAAATCATTGTAATTGTACATATGATTTGTAAAAGGAGCCTATTCCTCGCGGGTATCTGTATTACCTGTATCCATATTGTAGTTATTTTTATGTAATTATAAAGTTTATTATATGTTACATCATGATTTCCACGAATATAATATCATATTGAATATGACATTTTTTACGGCGATGTTTTTGAATGATATCCCTGTATCTGTAATAAAGTGGACAATCCCTAACTAAATCAAACTGGCTGTGATTTAGTTACGGAGGCTCCACTTGACTACAACAGCGAGTTCACAGAATCACGCCCATCTCTCATAAAACAGTTCATGTATGTGTGTTGGACCAATATTTGAACCAAAAGTATGAGGGTCGTGTACTTTATACATGTGTGTATGTTTGTCATGATTTGAAACTTGACATTCTCATTCTTACATGTATGTTTAGATACATTAACTCCGTTTTAATGAAGAGTTATCTTCAATCAATATAAACGAGTAGTTAATACAAAATGCTGTGTTATATTTTTAACATATGTCTATTATATTGTGTATAGTAAAGGAAGATAATATACGATACGAATTGCATTATTTCGCTCGATGTCGTGACGACACGTTATTACGACAGATCATGCTTATCGCTACGTCCGACAACAGTGTTCGGGGTATTGCTAATGTGTGTACGTTACCTGTAGGAGACACTTAATGATTTTAGACTATGTACAGTAAAAACGGGGGCGTGTCTATATGATCCATAAATGATGACATACACAGTGTAATGTGCATGCGGAACACTCATACATTTTCAAAATCCATTACGTTGCCTAATCATCGATACCACAGTAATACATTCACAAAGCGTTGTGACAGTGAAAAGACACAATTGTCTGTATATTTGTTGTGTAAATACGGCTTTGTGAGTGTATGTAACACCAATGTGTTCAGGTTAGATTGTATTTGTTGTTATACCATGTAGTACTTAAAACGGTATGTTTTGGCATAACGACCAGTAAAGTAATATATATTCAACATACTGATTTGGGTACAAAGAGTGTAATTTGTGTTGTTTTTTACTACCTACTATATATAAGCATATACATGGTAAATGTATTTCACGAGTTTGGCAGAATACACTTATCAAGATAATTGTTGTGCTGTGTCTCACAAGTGATATTTATAAATAGTATGTGCAATTTGATGCACAGCATGCTAACTGTTATATTCTATCGTAAGACCTTTCCTTTTGAAAAGGAAAATAAATATATCTTTCACTCGTAACATTTCAAAGACAGTTGGTGATTTTGTTCGGACGGCAACTGTTTAATGAAGACTACTATGAACGTAACAGTATCGAGGTGCCTCACGGATACGAGCTGTTCCAGTAAGCTTGTGCCTCACGGGTACGAGCTGTTCCAGTAAGCTTGTGCCTCATGGATACGAGCTGTTCCAGTAAGCTTGTGCCTCACGGTTACGAGCTGTTCCAGTAAGCTTGTGCCGCACGGATACGAGCTGTTCCAGTTAGCTTGTGCCTCACGGATACGAGCTGTTCCAGTTAGCTTTCGCCTCACAGATACGAGCTGTTCCAGTACGCTTCTGCCTCACGGATACGAGCTGTTCCAGTAAGCTTGTGCCTCACGGTTACGAGCTGTTCCAGTAAGCTTGTCCCTCACGGATACGAGCTGTTCCAGGTAGCTTGTGCCTCACGGATACGAGCTGGTCCAGTAAGCTTGTGCCTCACAGATACGAGCTGTTCAAGTTAGCTTGTGCCTCACGGATACGAGCTGTTCCAGTTAGCTTGTGCATCACGGATACGAGCTGTTCAAGTTAGCTTGTGCCTCACGGATACGAGCTGTTCCAGTTAGCTTGTGCCTCACGGATACGAGCTGTTCCAGTAAGCTTATTTCAGTTTTACTTCAAGATTATCCTCATACACGGAATAAATCCAATGATGTATAAATGTACTATTCGCCAGCACAGTAACGATTCTTATACACTTATTGTCGACTACAATAATCTCATTCTTTTTACAAAGCATTATTTATGATATTGCTACAGATTTTCTTTACTATTCTGTTTTTGAAAACAAATCATATATTTGAGCAGAACGCCCCTAACCTGGTGTCGTGATGTTTGTAATACTTGACCTAAAAGTTGAACATCTTTTACCTGAAACTGATTGTTGACTACTCCATGATAAAACTGTAGAAAGGTTCTTTCACATAACTACAGTTATTTTTTTCTAAAACTATATGTACATGTATGTAGATTAAGAAAATATCCAAAAGTGCTCCCTATATATCATACACCTCGGCCGATACATTAACAGTCTCCAGTATGTAGTTTTGTTACCGGTTTTTTGATTGATTGACTACGAAAGAGATTTTTTTTTTAGGTTGCAAAAATAATCAATGTTGTAGTGAGAACTGCCGTGGAAATGTTTATCACAGTGCTGTGTTCTATATTCACTGTCCAGGGACAATCATCAGGATATTGCAACAGCTGTTTGGATTTTATTTCGTTACCATTTAAATTTCTTTTTCAGTTATTAACCAATATCTTCAAATATCGATAATGACTATTGATCTTTTGAATCCGTCATAAGGATATGGTGATGATTGTAACAAATTAT